TGCAGCTGGGTGGAAAGCTCAGGGGAATGCCCCGGGTGGGCAGGGATGCTCCTCAGCAGAAGAGCAAATGCAAACTGACTGGTCACCTCGCCTCGCACTGCCACGTGCACCAGCGCAGAGGTGGGTTCCCCAGTACTGCAAACTGGAGGCAACTGGGGCAAATCCTGCTTGCTTTCATGGCTGCTTTTATTTTAGCAGCCTTGTGCCTGGGACTTTTCACATCAGCTTTTACTGTTGGATGCTGTTATCTAACTCAGAAATCATTTAACCAGCTTGTCTCTGAGTTCACAGTCAAGTTTCTACCCACACAGAGTCTGGGGATGTTTTGCCTGAGGATTTCTTTTGCCCTTCATGAGCTTAGGGGCAAACCAGAAAATGACTCCATGTAATTTCAGACTCTGAAACCACCTGCCCAGAAGGGTATGTGCAAAGGTGGCATTGTTGAGGTCTCTGCCTAGACTTACCACCGCTGTGCGGAGCTCCTGGTTTGCTTAGAAGCAAATAATGATTTTTTTCTGGTAACTCAGGACCTTGCTGGCACAGGCTGTAACCCTGCGGCTCACTCAGGCTCTGGAGACGCGTTCCTGAAGCCCTGGGAACTGGGGAGGTTCTCCTATGCAAAGCGTTCTCCAGCCCAGCTGGGTCAGTTTGTTTTTTCAAATAAGGGGAGAGTTTATTTGAGAGTTTTCTAGATGCACAGAGATATCACCAACAATAAACAGTGCTGGAGGAAATAGAAGAGTAGCAAGCATACTGATTTATTTTTTGTTTTGCTTTAGTTTACTTTTAAGTCCATAATTCCTAAAAGAAAGCGGTGGTGGTAAGGAAGAAGAAAAGTGGTGCATTTCTTATGGTGGTGAGATTGCGTTGTTTTTTGTCTTTAAAGAATCCCGTTTCTTTACTCAGCCGGGTTTCTTGCAAAGTGGCCAGTGAATGTGAGGAACTCCTCAAGTTGGAGACTTGATTTTTTTCACATGAAGTTCAAAGCTTGGTCCCTTTCTAAGTCAGGATCTCCACGAGACCTCTGAAATCACGTGCGCAGCCCTCGTGCTCTGTTTCTGGTTCTGTGCGTTCCCAGCAATGATCTCATCCCTTGCGGTGTGCTGGTTGGTAAATGATCAGCTGGGTGGTTGGATTTGGCTCACGTCTGAAAATTCAAGGCCAGCTGGAGCGTCCAAAGTGAGACGGGTGTCCCTCACCTTTCACGGTGAGACCACCAGAAATTTCTCCCTTTGCAGGTCAACTGCAGAGAAAGTCTTTCTGTGCAACACCTGCATTGCATACTTTTACAGCTTTTTCTGGCATCTTTTTTCCAGCCGAGTGTTATATATAGCTTTTGGGTTAATGTTTGCATGCCGAATGCAGTTTTCTTGGAGCAGATTGCATTGAGAAGTGGGTGAAGTAATATAATAACGTGCATAAGCCTGTGTTGTTTGAGCCCGCAGCCCTCCTGGAAGACAAACACACTTAAAAGTGTAGTTTTCCCAAGCAGCATTTTCAAATGACTTTGCAAACCCTCTCATCTGTCGGTTCTAAGCGGGATGCTTTCACCCAGGATGGGGCCGGGAGAGCTCCCAGAGCTACCCCGTGACTGACCTGGGGTGGTGACACTCGGGCGTGAGGCTGTTTTAGTCCTTGTAGCCTTTTGAGTGTGGTCCAGGGGGCCAGCACATTTGGAAGGCGTTCTCAGTGAGCTTCAGGAGCTCTTCCAGAATGCGGCAGCCTCGGTTCTCACTTGAGCAACGGGTTTGTTTTAAGAAGGGAAACCCAAAGAGCTGAACTCGTGCAATAATCAGCGTAAATCTGAAGGGAACTGATAATACCCCATGGCAAGAAACCTTCTTTGCCACCTGCCTTGGGGAAGCAAAGCGTCTATACTTCCAGGATGCTGTGAAAGAAAGGGGAGGTATAAACAGTAAACTATAATTCTACTTAGTATCTTATCTGTATTAGTAATATTAATATGTTCTCGCTTTGCAAAAGCAACAAAAAGCTTCAGATGAGGTCAGGGCCCCCTCACGCCAGCACTGCCTGCGTGTGTAACAGCAGAGACCAGGACGGGAGCAGTAGGAGATAGCACTGGGGTTCTCTGCAAGTAAGGAGCTGTTTTACAGAGAAAATGAGATGCACTTTAGCAAACACTTAAGGATTGGCTTACATTTAAGAATGTTATTTAATCCTGTTGAAATTGAGAGGATTACTTACCCTTAAACGCATGCTTAAGCATTTCCCTGGCTGGGGGCTGGTGGGCTGGAGCGCAGCGGCTGGAGGAGGAGCTGGGCTTGCGCTTGACTTGTCTTGCTCTTGGCTACTGCCTTAGCACGAGCTGCTATTGGAAAAATATTCGCTGGTAGTGGAACAGTTACTGTTCAGTCTCGTTTCTGGAGATGCCAAGCTTCGTGGAGGCTCTTTGTACCTGATTCCTCCAAGTGGGTCGCTTTGCTTACGTCCCCAAGCGTTGTTTTGGGAGCCTCGGTGGAGGCAAACGTGTCTCTGCACGCCGACTCGTCGCTGCAACCAGGTCCCAGGCTTTGATGTGCCAGGATGTTCAGAGCTTGGGGCTTTTCATAAAAGAACAAAGCAAAAACTGTAGGCGTAGAGAACAGTGCGCTTTTCTCTTAAATTTCCCTGGAAGTCAAACCCTGCGGTGTAACCGTCTGATTCATAAACTGATTTTTGTACGTTAGAAGTCTTACATTAGAAGTCTAATAATAGACCACAGAAGAGACTCATTCAATCAGTCGAGGACTTCCCTTGGACTATTTTAAGCCCTGTGGAGCAGAGCTGGGGGTGCCCGGGGGCTCTCCAGCCCCCGCACCCTATTTGGGCTCGGCACTGGCAGGTACCGCTCGCCGGCAGCGATGCTCCGCACCACGGCTCTGCCCTGATGAGCCCTGGAGCCTTTCACAGACTCCAATGAACTCAGTCCCACCTCCTCTCCCAAACTGGGGAGAATTTTAGAGCTGGGAGGCTGCGTCGCAGAGGGGCTCAGAGGGGTCTTTTAAGCTGCTGACAGTTTGGGGAGTAAGACCTATTTTCTTTGACTCCTGCTTATATTTTAACTTGCTTTCTCCTGTTGCTGCTCGTGTCATTTTTAAAGGCAAAGCCAACCTTATTTAAAAACTGTGGATTGAAATGACAGTGTGCTGGGAGGGACAGGGTTTGCGTGGAGCTCTCGGGCAAGGCTGTCTTCTCCTTCCAAGGGGTCTCAGCCCCTTTGGGTTTCTCCGGAGCAGGCTTGCTCATTGAAGCCTGACATCACCAGAAGCCTCATCTTTGATGATTCTCAGAGCAAACACGGGACTGGACACACGTAGGGATGTGAGAGGGACTTGGAGAGCTTGACTTGCTCAACACCTCCCCGAAATGGAGGTGGGAATCTCGCCGGCTGGGAGCTCGTGGCTGGAGAGCACGTGGCTGGAGCGCCTTTTCCAGAAGTGACCAACCTTTCTTCATGCTGCTTTTTTGTTAGATTACAGCAAAATGAGAAACTTCACTGCGTTTATGTTCACGGCACTGAATTTCTGCTTGAGAAAGTTTACAGTTTCCCTTCTAGTTGCACAGTGATTATGGTCTGTGATCGGTGGCTCCAGGGCATCCCTGTAATACCAGGGTTGCCGGGGTGGTGGCCTGGTAGCTATCCACGTGGGCTCTTGCGCCAAAATCCAGCTGGGCTGGAATTCGTGATAGTGGTAAAAGAAAAGAAGAATTAGAGGGATAAAGGTTGCAAAAGCGTGGAGGAGAAGACAGGGTTTGGAGCAGGATCTGCTGCAGCAGGAGGAGCTCAGGGCAGTCCTGGGGAACCACATGCGTCCATCCCCCCCCAAATGAGCCTGGGCTTTGCAGGTGGGAGGGATTTGTGTGAGGATCTGCGATGCGACTCGGATTGATGTTCTGGGATGATAACGCAGGAGGGAGAGAGCCTTCACGTGTTGACAGCAGTGCCGGGAGAGGAGTCTGGCACTCGCTTAGGGCACATGGTCCCCTGGGTGAATGACGCGAAGGTGGCTCAGCAAGGCAGGGAAGCATCCCTCAGCACGAGAGGGGTGTCCCCGAAAGAAAAGAGCACTAATGGAGACTGAGTTTGGGTGCAGGGAAGCTCCAGGCAGTCACAGCCTCCCTGGGGTTGAGGTTTGTGTGCCCAGAGGAGAGCCAGGAGTTGGGGGCCCGGGATGGGAGGGGACAGCTCAAAAAGTCCTTTATCTGTGTCCTAGACACAAGCTACTTTATTCGTTCCCGTGGACAGGAAAGCAGTCCAAAACCAATAGGTTTGTTTTTTCAATCCAGCTTTGAAGTTATGAATATGAGCAAGTGTAAAACATGTTTCATATCTATAAAGGACTAAAACCATTCCTTGTTTGTCTTAATTGAAAATTCCATGTAGCAGTTAAAACTTCCATTAAAAATGGGAGTTTTCAGGAAAAAAGCTGGTGGCTTTACTGTTCTGCATTGCGATGCTGATGAAAATATTTTGTTGTTGAATCACTTCTGGCTGTTTTCTGCCAGAAAAGGGCGATGGTCTGCGCTCACCTCCGACAAACTGATGATGCATCTTTTACTGAAATGTGAGAAGCCAAAACCATTCGGTCTTGGCGAGTTTGCCTCAATAAGATCATTTTGTGTGGGCAGAGATGATAGGAGTTAGGAACCTTTTGTAATAAAATACAAAGGGGGTTTTCCAGTGGCTCTCAGTGTTGCATAAAACCTGTTGGAGCAGGTCTGGACGTACGATACGAGAGATGGGATGGAATTTCCTCATATGACATTGTTGAATGGATGGCTGAGGGTTAAATATCTTAAATATGCTCGGTGGTAAACCCAAAAGCTGTGTTTGCAAGGATAGTGTCCTCAAGACAGACTCTGGCACTGATGGGGGGGCTGGTGCACATCCATTTCAGTGGGTGTTCAGGTCCAAATACCAGGCTGTGGGTCCTCAAGTTCCTACCAAACCCTCCTCTATCTTCAATAAGCACACCAGCATCTTTTTGTCTTGTTTCCAGGTGATCTCTGCAGTATCCAGACTCTCCTTCCACAGTATTGCTCAAACCAAAGGAATTAGGTAAGATCCTTTCGATGTGATGCTTTAAATAATACTTCTCCCTCTCCCTATCCGTATTCCTGGTATTTAATCACTTCAGACTCTTTAGAAGATACCCGTGTTAGGGTTAAACAGACATCAGGGATGCCTTTGAGATGTAGGTAGGGCACTTGTAAAAGCACCTTACAGACTGCTTAGGGACAATTTACAAATAAAATTAGTGAAAATGTCACCATTGTCAGTTGTATGCAGTATGCTTGCTGGAGGGATAGCAGGATGGGTTTTAGTGTCTCTTAGTCAGGTGCTCTGTGCAGCTGAGGACTGGGACCCCAGGAAAGCCAGCAATGCCCCCTCCCTTTTGCTCCACCCATGGTGTCACCCCCCTGTCACCTGCTCCGCTCTGTGCAGAAGCGCCCAGGTGGCCTTTCAGTCACTGCCAGCTGGGAAATTTCTTCCTGGCTTTGACAAGGGCACGCTGGTGCTGGTGGGGGTGCTGGGGATTGGTGGGTAACCCAGCCCTGGCACCCAGGATGGGCTGCCCTGCAGCCGGGGCTGCTGCTCCTCTGCTGATTGAAGGGGTAATGGAGAAGGAATTAAAAACAGCAGACAGCCCTCTTAAGGATTGCTGTTATCCCGGTCTTTGTTCAATTCCCTGCAAAATTGGTTTGCAGTTGGTTTTCTTGTTAGTGTGCATTTTTATTGGTAATCTGGCAGCAGCATCTCATTAGAACTATGGATATAACTAGAAAGAGTTCTCAGCTGAAAGTACCTTTCCTCCATTTGAGAGGGATTTTTTGGGTTGTGTTTGTTTCCCCCAGCTATAAAAACACGTTTGCTTTTCTCTGCAGAATGTATCTTGCTGCTTTTCTGGTCAGAGTGTAGCCACAGCCAGGGTGTAGGGACATGGGCTGGATGGGACCCTTGTGTTAGTTGTACCCCCACTGCCCATGCCCACCACCCCACTTCATGATTTCCACCGTGGGAACTTATTTTCAGTGCCTAAACTGCGCTGATACTGCTGGAGAGGAACAGCTTTTCACGAGTAAAACAAACTCGGAGCCTTCCCATCTGTTAAACACAAATCTGACAGATCCCACTAGGACAGGGGAGAGAGTCAGGGAGTGAGGGTTTGAAGGAAAAAGACGTGCTGTAAGTTAAGGTCTATTTATTATTAAGGGTAGCCCTGAGTTCTAGAGAAGCCTGCAGTGATTATTATTTTAAGGGAAAAGACCCTCCAAGGCATCTAGAGGCAGGGAGCAATGGGAGAAGCCCTGGGCAGAAGCGTCGGTGCCTTTGCAAGCTCTGGGGCACTGCTGGAGGATGCGATGTGTCAGCCCCGGCAAAGCCCTTCCCTAGGTGGGGGGGTCCGGGTGTCAGTTCAGAGGATGAATGGGCCAGTCTTCCTCTGGGAAGGCTGTGGCTGAATCACTGGTGTTTCTGTTGAGGTCTCCTGCTCTGCCAGGGATGGTTGGATTGGCGATAGCTGGGAGCCAGGGACAGGGAAGCTTTGCTATTCTTGTGGATATGTGGCTTTTTCTCATTCATTTTACAACCAGCATTTAGGGTTCCCACTCAAATCCCTTATCTCGAAAGCCTTTGGCACCATAATTACACAAGAATAGCTCAGAGCTTAGCGGGTCTTTGCTTCTAACTCTGTTTTCCTGCATGTATTAACCCTGCTGCTTCTCCTCGTTGCCAGATCTGCAGGAACAGAAAATGCTCTTCCTTCCTTAGCTGGAAAATATCCCCCCTTGGCGTGTTATCTGTTCCCTGCAGTCAGAGAGCCCTCACTTTGTCCATTGCTGCACAATTTTTCCTTTTAATTAGATGATTTCTTGCTACACCATCACAAAAGCCTCAGTGCCAGAAACTAATCTCAGATGCATTAATTTAATCTGTGGGAGCCAGCGGCAGCTCTGGCTCCTCAAAGGGACTGGCCGTGTCGGCCACCGCTGCCCCTCAGCTCACTGGGGTCTCCACCGGTGGCTGGGGGTCCCTCTTGACTCCTTCCCACCTCTGCTGAAGATGTTGCCATTGAAATAAATGGGAAGAGTCTTGTTGGCTTAGGCGTGGGGCTCAAACCCATGGTAAATAGAGTGCAGTTAGGATGGTACATGGATCATGTGGTCTTCACCCCATGGTATGGATGTGGCTCAGCTCCAACCCCTGTTGGGAGGGTTTAAGAATCAGAATCACACCAGTTAAGAATGAAATAAATCCCCAAGCTTATTACTTGTCCTTAAATAAGTTTCATGGCATGTAGGGTAGAAAAATAAGAATCAATCTTGTATGCTATTCAGTGAAAAAAAAGTCTTTATGTCTAATTATTTCTGTTTACATGAACCCTGCCAGTGAAAACCCAGTTTTGCAGAGTAAATCAGAGAGCTATGAGGATAGTTACATTGAGATGACAGAGTGTCTCTTCCAAGAAACAAGCTACAAGCAGCAAAACATGGCAAAAAAGGATCTTGCATGCAATGTTGCGTTCGCATCACTCTGCTAAGGCTCGGCTTAATCTACTGCAGCTGTAGCTACAGCCCTGCTGTGCCTTTCCTCCTCCTGCTCTGCTCTGCCCCCGGGGTAGGTTGCAGAAGTCCTGCAGAAAACAGTGTCACCCTCCAGCACGGTGCATCGCTGACTTACCTCCTAGCAGGCGATGGGTTCTAATGGTTGCAAAAATAGATTTTTGTCTTGCACAAGACTGCTGGTGCAAACAGCACAGACGATATATTTTTCCCCTAGCGTGTAGTCACAAGGACCACCACCACCACACTGGCTTATTTTTTGGGTGCTCCCCTTTTCCTAACCCACACTTTGATGATAAGAGGCTTATTGTTGTCTCCTAGAAAAAGCCACGTTTTCTCTCTTTAATCTAAGGTGTTCAGAGGAAAGATGACTTGGTGGATAAAGGCATGGGCTGAAGGAAAAGTGGAAGCACAAAGCTACCTTGTGATCTTGACTCTGCCTAGGGCGCCGAATATGGCCCTTGGTGAATGCCTTAGTTTTGTGTGTGTGATTTTCCCCCTCTTGGAAGGAGGCAGGTGAGAAATGCCTTTGTTCACTGGGCTTGTTGGAGAGGAGACCTGCCTGCTTGCTGGGCATGGGGAGCCCTGAGCAGCAGCCCTGCCTTCTGATCTTGCATGGGCGCACAGGTTCTGCGGTTCCTGGGGATTTCACCTGTGGTTTTACCGGGCTGTATGTGAGGAGTACGACCCTCATCGCATAGCATTGCCCATCAGCTAAAGAGAGGGGATTTATTTTAGTTGTCACTGTTTCTCATCCTTTCCTCCCTCTGTCTGGAGGACCCTGAGCAGTGTCAGTGAGAAGCTACCACCGTGCTGCTTGCCTGTCCCTGGCTGTCTCTGAACAAGGGGCCTTTATTTTATAGCCAGGACACCAGGATTTTCCACTGACTGCAGCCCATGAAAGTCCATTACCCTTTTTCTCACAGGGGCTGGCACTCAGTGCTTCCAAGTCAGATGGGAAGATCTTGCAGCAGACAGAAACAGTGTGGTGCAAAGGTTCTCCTGTGCTCTGGAGTGTGATTCTTCAGTCCCTTTATGAGTTTGCTTGAGCTGGAGGACAACAGTAGTTCTTGTTGCAGGTCCCGATAAACCGGGATTACTTTTTTTTTTTTTTTTGCCTAAGTCTTCTTTTTGTTCCTCAAGACATCCCCACTTCAGCCCTGGCTGTTCTCTGTTGCCCATGGTACATCCCAGCGTGCTCTGGCCACCGTCCACCTCGTGCGAGCGAGCTCCACCAGCCGAATGTGAACTGGGAGCAGAGCGGGCATGTGTTTTTTCATCTCCCCGAGATATATGTTTTTCCTGGAAGCAGAGTTTTGCAAGCAAAGCAGGAGGTTAAAGAATATTGGCTCTTGCTGCCTGCATGCATTTTTAATGTGTGCACAGTGAAACCATCTGAAAACGGGAAGGAGTTAGCATGTTCAAAGGCCTTTTACTGAGGCCCTTAATCTAAGTAAATCCTTTATATATGAACTGAGGCTCTCAGTGACTTTCTTCAGAAGGCACTGAAGTTAATAAAGCAGATTTTAAGACATTTGCAAATGGGGAGGAGGGCTGAATCCTATTTGTCAAGGGGAAGTTTCCTCCCATGGGAGCAGCAGCGATGCCCTGGCTGGGTGGTGGCGGAAGAAGAAGGGGACGGTTGGGTTTTCCCCATCCTGGGGACCAAGGCAGGATCCCCTCAGGTCAGTGACAGAGCACAGATGCCTGGGGACAGCTGATTGGAAGAACAAGTGATGTCTCCCCTTTGCCTGTCACTACAACGCAGGCAGTGAGTTGAGAGGAGAGAAGCACAGCGCTGGAATTAGCCCCGGTTGGAGCTGCCTCTGATCAAGTTCAAGGCAGCAAAATGAGCTGTACCAGCATCCTCCCATCAGTGGGGATTTAACCCAGAGGAGACTTTCCTACCACCCTTGTTTGCCTGCAAACCCCGTGTCCTGCTGACGAGGTTCAACATGGTGGAGCAGGCTTGGTAGCATCAAAGCAGGGGATATAGAGATGTATAGATCTTATGAGGAGGGATTGAGGGAGCTGGGAGTGTTCAGTTTGACCAAGAGGAGGCTGAGGGGGGACCTCATCATGCTCTGGAATTACTTGAAAGGATGTTGTAGAGAGGTTGGTGCTGGTCTCTTCTCACACGTAATTAGGGACAGAACCAGGGGGAATGGCTGCAAGTTGCAACAGGGCAGGTTTAGGCTGGACATTAGGAAGAAATTCTTCACAGAAAGAGTGGTCAGACCCTGGCACAGACTGCCTGGGGAGGGGGTCGAGTCGCCATCCCTGGATGTGTTCAAGTGCTGTTTAGATGTGGTGCTGGGGGATATGGTTTAGGGGTGAGCTTGTAGTGTAGGGTCAGTGGTTGGACTCGATGATCCCAAGGGTCTTTTCCAACCTGAATTGTTCTATGATTCTACAATTGCTCAGCTCTGGCCAGGTAAACTGTCGAAATGCGCTGATGGGCTCAAAACGAGGTTTGCACTATCAGCCCTGGAGTTT